TCGGAAAGGCTTGTAGTTAAGCAAGGCAAAGATGCCGACGTGGCCGACTTCCTCGGTTGCTCGGGTGAAAGTGCCTGCATCTGGGGTCGTTCAACAATACCTGGAGGCCGGATTGACAGAGGCCTTGCTCGGGCCCCCCTGCGTCATGGCAACTGGGCGCAAGGGTATACCTGCAATTCAACCGGCCAGTATAAATGATACCAAAACCTGCCGGTAAATAAGAGAGTGGATGCGAATGCCCACTCAGCGAGTGTGTGTGTGTGTGTGTGTGTGTGTGTGTGTGTGTGGATTTGGGTGGGCGAGCGGGCATTTATTTAATGGGCCAGTAACAATGTCGGCCGGATGGCCTCCTCGGTTGGCTGGCCGGCGGGCTGGGAGCGTAGGGTGAATCTGACGCGTTTGTTGAAATTTCCCCATTCCTCTAGGCTTAAAGCATACAGCTGTACACATTCTCAGACCGTATGGTTCCTTTCTCATCACCACTTCGCACCACCCTCCGCCAGCCATCTGGTCATTGTTTCACGCCAACCAACCAACCAGCCGACCAACCAACGCACTAACTACAAGCCACCTGTCGAATGTTACCTATTTTACTCAACTCATCCTTGCGTCTCGGCCGAATCTTTCGTCTCCGTCCACACGGCCGGCCTCCTTCCTCTCCTCCTTCCCCACTCGATCGCCTCTCGGCCTGGCCGCACTCTTCTCGTCTTCCCTCCCTCCCACGCTATACCCTTCTGTCCTCGTGGTTCTCACCCGCTACAAGCGTGCCGATCCTTCTCTCTTTCTCCTTGCCACCTCGCCTCGAATAGCCGTAGCCGAGGCCTTAAGACATCGAGGCCTCGCCGCCGGTGGACTCGGCCATCTCAGACCATCGGAGCCAGTTTTCATTTCTACCGAAGAGGCGAGTTAACGAGATCCCTCAATTGGTCTCACCACGAGTTGAAGGAGGATTGTCGATTTGTGCCAATAACTCGCATTGGCAGTCGGAGTCGCAGGACTGGGCATGGAGGACTTGTTTACACAAGTCACGATACCAATTCAACAGCAATCTTTGGTGAGGAGCTGGGTTTTAAAGAATCCTGTAGTTGAGTTATGTTGACAGATTGTTTGTTCTCATTGGCCAAACTAGTGGAAAGGATGGTTCAGTAAATTTGCCTCTCAGATCCCGGGGATCCGTCGAGGACCAATTCGTCACAACTCCGAGACAGTCGTCCTTTAGATTAGTTATTCAAAAAACTCTAGCTCCGCCAACTTACAGGCCAATTTTCCTTCGATCCTCGGTTAATATAATGTAGGACTCTTTTATTATCATTAAGGCCATTG